CATCGTGGCCTAAACACGGTACTCGGCTTTAAAAACGCTCGTTATGCAATGATTACATAAAATAATATTATAACACATATAAAAACTTTTCAAGATCCTTTAAATCAGACCCTTAGTCTGATAAGGCCACGTATGTTAAATAATTTAAGCAGTAAAGTTCCTTGTGACAGAGTTCACCCAGGGTAGTACTGCCACCTTACCTATTTCTGCCGCCAAGCAGTAATGTCAGCATTACTGCATTCCAGTTTTAAAAAGTAAAGGTGCTGGTGAAATTTCAGGCGCATAGGACTTGTCAGCTTGTGCCTCAGGGTGACGAGCACAGTGAGAGTGCCTCAGACAGGCGTGTCGCTTACCACCGCCTGATGCGACTTGTCTGTCCCCGCACAATGCTGTGGAATACATTCTGATGCATGTCATCTCACATTACAATGGTCTTTAAATTTGTTTAAAAGTTTAATTAAAACACTTTTGATGCAAGTTTTAAACTTCGGAAATGGTAATCTTAATATATGCTCCGGAATCTTATTGTAAAAACGTATACAGTTCCCGATAAAAGAGTCGAATACCTTAGTTAAACGAAATCATGGTACCATGACTTCGGACTTAGTTCTAAGGTAATATACAGGTAAGGTAAAAGAGACAATAAAAGTTTAAATACTAGAAAGTAAAACTAGGTTTTTTAAATTATATGAATAAAATTGGGTCCCCGCAGCGAGGTGCCCAAGATCTTGGCAGCGTTCTCCTTTTGTATTACTATGCGTTGGGCAAGGTAGTCGGCTCTTGGATTTCCCAGACAGTCTATTTAATTTTTCGATAAAATTTTGTACAGATAAAGGACACTGGGACCCCACGGGCCAAGGGTTTCTACTCCAAAGGCTGTAAATAGGTGATCGGACCCGAGATCCTGGTACTTATTACTTTTTATTCTTTCCGCCAGCTCAGCTGCGGAGTCAGCCCTCTTGCTGGTGTGCTGGAGATGGGATGGGGCAAGTGTGTCGGCACATGTGGCGTCCCACACCAGTGCCCGGCCCATAAGGTTGTAAGGTTGATATAGACATCTTCTTTCCTAATGAAATTATGTTTGTTTTTGCGGGCATACAAAATACTTCAGGAAATGTGCTGTGATACTAGACTGGTAGTAAAACAAACAAATATGGAAGATTTAAACGAGTAATCCGTGGCACCCTAACGGCTTAGCCAACCGTCTCTCAAGCAGAGGTCGTGCCTTCGAATCCGTGCTGCACCTCCGAGTATTTTGTCTGTTTTTATAAGTTCGGTTCACAACGGCATTGGGCCATCGTGACGTACTATGGCGTAAAACCCTGTTTTAGAGACGCAACCATGCCCAGCAGTGAGACGTACGAGTTGATGTTGAATTTTATTGAACATCATGACTTTTTTACTACCATGATATTATTATTAATAACAAAGATCGAACGCTTAAAAAAATGATCAAAATTAGATCCGGCTGGATTGGAACCAGCACCCTCAGGCAATCCGTGCCAGATGCTCTGTCGTTTAAGCCACGGAACGAACCACGAAAGAAAAATTAACTATGGAAGTGTCTTAAGCCTCGCTGTCGTCAAACCGCACAAAAACAAATGATAAACACTATGAAACCTTGATAATGATTGGTCATAGTTTCTAATTTAAAAAGATATAAGAAATTCTGGATTGTTTATGTAATTTAAACTTTACCCAATCGCTACATCGTTGAAAGTTCAATACCTTTATTGCAAGTTATGACGTGGGTCAATTACATTGACTTACAATTATATGGACGTCGGGTCCGCGCTAAAAAGTGTCCGAACTTATAGGGCGTTAAAATCGTATACAGAGCGTCATTCACGCTCTAGTCTTCGTTTGTTCGACTGACAGCAAAGCAAGCAAAATTAGACAGTACTGCGATGACATTACAATTTAAATTCAACGTTTTAGCTTTTTCATATTCCTTTACATGTCACTACGCTTAAATAGGTTGACTTGGGACATATTTTTCGTGGTTTTTGTATTAGACCCGTCGTCCATATAATTGTAAGTCAATGGTTAGTTACGATAATTTAAGCGAAGTTTTTATTACGGGAACCTCGTCCCATCCCATTGCTTTGAACAGGCTTCATATTTTGCAAGCTACATTGTTGTAACATTCTTCTGATTACTACAAAAGTGTGTTATAGGAAACTATCAATCTTGGCCTACAATCTACTGTTGTGTATAGACCTAATTTTTGCGCGCAATTTATCTCGGGTCCTCGAGTTCGTGAGCTTCGGCTTCCCGTTATAACAGCACAGTAATATCATTTGACTACTGTTGGGTAATTTTCAGAAAAAAATCAAACAGTGGTGTTTTCTTCCGGAATAATTGTCGAAAATTGAAAAGATTTGATTTTGAATGCCCATATTATGTTCTATGTTTAGATATCTTTTGAAGTTCTGTTTAGAGTGAATTATAAAATAAACTTGTATTGCTAAAAAGCCACTAGACAAAAACGATATTTAAAATTATTTCACATAAGCGAAAAAAACCTTTTTAATAGCTCCATCGTTTTCGTTCAGTAACTTCAACTTTTAACATTAAGGTCAAAATTGGAAAATTAAAGGAATAATATCCGGAAAAATATTTCTTTTGAACCAATACTACATTTGACTGGCTACAATCGACCTCACGCAATCCGTCTTTGGAACGCGCTCGCGCTCCATGTAAGACAATCTCGGGCCAAATTATATTTCAAATGCGTGCGCAAGCAAGCATCTGTTTTACAATTGACAAAATCAAAACTCGGTATAAACTTGCTGTGGATACATGTATAACTACTAGCTGGTGCCCACGACCTCCCCTGTCTCACCCCCTGTAAAATTTATTTATATGACATTAAGTAGCCTGTCCATCTCTCTATCTAAATTCATTAAAATTGCGCGGTTTAGGCTTTAAAATGTAACAGATAAGTTACTTTTATAACATGCATTTATAATATTAATTCGGATTATTTATTTTATATCTTAAACTTCTAAATTAAGTATTGGTTTATAGTATTTTGTTTTTCTTATTGTAAGTGTAGCACCAACCAACCTGTTTAGCCTATTGAGTGACTGGTAGAGAATGCCTCATGGCATTAAGTCCGCCTTTTTTAGTGTACAATACAGTTTAAATATATAAAGAAATCGGTCACTAAGAAACACCGGCATTCTATAACCTCTAAGGTTATGTATTAATACGCAATTCGATGCGATCCGTATAGATTCAATCGACCGATAGACAAGCACGTGATCGACAACTCTATCAGGACAGGCCAAGATGGTCACCACAGTCTGGCAGACGCAAGTGTCTGCGGAAGAGGTCAAACGGGGCGCGGGGTACCACCATCGCAGGCAAATGATACCCGCGACGCCGCATCGATCCGGTACATGCTCCCGCAGCCCCCCGCCCCACTTCCCCGACACCCCCTTCACGCCCCCAGCCCCTCCACACCCCCTCCGTCGCCACACACTACGCCACGCACACACACGCACCGCCGCCTCATCTAATGTGTTCTGCCAAATGATCCGTCGCGAATATTAAGCTGTCTATGTACAGAAAACGGATAGTCATTTTGAAATAAGAGAAATTATTTGCCTAACAACCTATTTCAGTTTTTGAAGGCACTTCTTTAGCTAACCCTACATATGTAACGTATATATCTGTCTAAACATTTCTAAGTAGATAACTAAAAATTACTCTAACAGCTACGTATTAAACCATTTAAAATCAAAAATTATCACAAAATCAATAATCAGATCACAGTAAAATAAATAACTCACATTAAAAAAATATTACAACAGATTTTGCGAAATAACATCATATTGTAATAGTAATAAAGCGTTTATTTGAAACGTGTTAACAAGCGCGCGGGTGTCGGTTAATTGGCAACCACGTGGCAACAATTATTTACCTGCAGGTGTACCACGTGCTCCACCGGCGCGCTGCGTTCATAACCTTACCTATGGCATCATGTGGTTAAAATGTTTAAGTAGAGATTAACTTATGGTTCAAAATTGAATCAAATGTCATTTCTTTTATGATGTTAACCATTATGCTTTGCCTAAACATGATTTTTGGATTCATTGTTCTGTACTATTTAAGTTATAGTTAGCCTATTTCTACTTTATAAGGAAAAAGGAGAGTGGCAAAGATTGAAGAAAAGATAGGCAAGGAAAGACCTAGAAGAAGTTATCTAGATCAAATAAGGGAAAGTTAATGCCGTATCGCATCAGGAAATCCGAGTTAGGCCGCTGAATTGAGATGGCCGGTTATTACTCCACAAAAAAAAATCGCTGAAATAATGATTTAAATTGCCAACAGTTACTTCTTGACATCATAAGTAATTAATAATATAAAGTAATTATGTGAACTCGTTATGGTTACAGATAAGTCAGTGTGTACTATAAGTGAAGAGATAAAGTTTCTATTACAAAAAAAAAAAACTACGTCCATTTTCAACTCTAACAACAAGACAAAACGAGCATTGCAGAAGCTAACTAAAAATGAAGGAATAAGATGTTGAATTTACAGACGTTCCGGTTTAATGCCTCCAGCTACGAGACTTTGCGACTCTATTGCACGGTAATAAAGTCTATAACAACTTGTTCTTACTCAAAGTTGGGTTGTCGCTCTATGTGGTTTGAGACTGGATTTTTAGAACTGAAATGGTTTAGTTTAAAAAATTGTCGTGAATAATATCGCTTGGTATTTTCGGCAAAATCGCTAGAGCTCATAAATATCGCTTGAGTCAATGCAAATGACAGTTTTAGATGATAATAAAGTTTCTGAACGACAAATATGTGTTATGGATTATATATATTATACTTATAGGTTACAATGACTAAGTTACAGCACTAAAGTGTCTAAAAAAGCGATGCATTGTTGTAAAAAAATGCAAAAATGTAGCATGGGAAGAATCCGACGACGATTCCCCAAATGTAGGGCATGTGACGGGTACACGCGGTCGCTACAGCACAACTTACATTAGCCACGCACGGGGCACTCCAAAAGTCTTCAAGTTACGACGAACAAACACAGTCAACAGTGAACCTTGCTAATACTAAGATATGAACGCGTGATACAGGCCCGCGAGTTCCACATTTGGTTTTCTCTATGAGAACATGGCACGTGCGGTCTCTACGGCTGCCCGGCAAGACTAAAGCTTTCCCCCCTTACGCGCCCCCCTCCCTGGTGCACGCTTCAAACGCTCCCTGATAATTGGGAGAAAATTCAACATAGATGCAATTGGATCTAGGATTTTTTTGGCGATGTCCGTTACTTTATTGGACCTCATCGGACTGTTGAGCTCGCTCCGGATGCAATCTCGCAACATTTATAGATATTTTCGGCAATTTACAGTTTCCAGCTGTTTATATGGCTTTACTTGCATCGTAATTTACGGGAGTTGACTATGAATACAGATGTTGCATTGTTACAGCTATTCAAGTGTAAAATATAGACGGCTGAGATATAACAATGCTTCTCGATAGGTTTTTTATTTGTGTAAATTATTGCTATTTTTGTACATTTCTGTTAAGAAACATTTTTTTTTCATCGAATAATGTCAATCTCGTTTTGTGAAAAATACGAACCGAAATTTCTACAACAACAAGATGTTAGATATGTAGATAGACCGAAGCAAGAAAATCTACTTAGCGTAAGAAAATAATTCCTTTTTCTTGTTTTCTCTTCTATATTAAGGATATTTAGTAAATTAATTTCTTTATTTGACACTATTTTAATACTAGAACGATAACAATAAATTATATAGGTATACAAAAAAAGCGGTAGTAACGCAGTAGAAGAACGTTTTGTTATGACTACAATTTCTAAATTGCGTACATTTGTACATATTTAGTAGAAATAACCTTTCGTTAACGATGATGATATACATCGTGGTAAAACATGGCCTAATCCGCCACATTAGACAAGTCTCATACATAGTAGTGGAACGTACAATTGGGTGACAATTTTTGGTTATCATGTAGTTTTCTTGTACTTTTTTGACTTGAAACCAAGGAGGAGGTTCTCTATTGACTCTATTTTTCCGATTTTGATGATTCTTTTTTTTTTGGAAAGAGGGTACTTGAGTATAGATCCCATTTAAATTTAAATTAAAATATTCCACCTCTAAGAATGGGAAACTGATAGATGAATCCAGTTTGTAGTTTCAGTCTGTATGTAAGCAAAGTTTGAAGTCGGTTCCTTTTTTTGTTATAAAAAAATATTCTTCATATTTATTAGTTTTTGTTTTATTTTTCTTGTGTAGTGTCATTTTTGGTAATAAATAATAAAAAAAGCCGACCTCAAAACTCGTGGAATTAGATTTATTTGACAAGTTTTATTGATATCGGTTACCGGAAAGTGCGCGAAACCGGATTCATCCCCTAGTTTACCAACCTTACAGGTCCCTTATAGAATCATTAATATCGGTTCACAAATGCCAGAATAATAGCGTAACTCGCGTAACATTCACAAAAAAAACAGTCGAATTGGGTACCCCTCCTTTTTTGAAGTTGGTTAAAAAGTATTTTTTTCTTTCTATGATGTTGTTGTTGTATTTTTGAATACAAGGAACATGTAATTCTTTCTTTCTATGCGCTAGTATATAAATTTATCACGAGAGCGGAAAGGGAAACATTTTGAAGGAAATAATGCATTGGAGAAGGTTCCGAAAAGACTACAAAGACTCCCATTGGCCTAGTGATTTGCATATATATTCTAATACCGCAAAAGAGACTTTGATTTAAGTGTAGCTCGGACTCATTCTTCTTCAGTCTTTAGTCAACCACTGCTGATTGTAGGCCTCATTTGCATGCCAGCCTTTCCGATCTTGGGCTATTTACCTCCAGGTTGTTTCCGTTTGACGGACAACATTGCTGGTACCGGTCCTCAATCTTCACTCCAGCATTCGTCTGCTCCACTGTTTATCGGTTTTGCGACTTAAGTGATGCGTTCATCGCCATTTTCTTTGCGTTTAGAGTTATTACCATTTGCCTTTCCGATTCGTAAAAGAACGGAGATAGAAGAATTGCTTAACTTACGTGGCAGAGTTCTCGAGCAGTGACCGCGTAGCAGAAGACGTGTCACGCTACGTCTTCGTATTCGTACTGGTGTACTTCAAGGACTGGTTTTAGGACCAAACAGTTACTCTATATATACAAGAAGCTGAAACACTGTATTCCCAGACGTACATATGTCTATGTAATTATAGCTGTAATTATGCACTAGAAGTCGTGAATTAAGGAACAGTGGGTCAACAGTCGTACATGGTACGTTTAATTTATGAAAATGATTAATAGATTGAGGCGTTACTATGCGTAAGTCTAAGTTAATAAAAATGGAAGTAAATTAATTTGCTTCTCTGCGAATCCAGTGGAGGTTAAATCATGCAAAGTAACAAGTTTGTTACTTTATAAACCGCATAAAATTAACAAAATAAGTACACAAGCGCAACTACAGTTATAGTGGCTAAACTACGACGTAATAACGCACACACTCGACATAGCCCCGCACTAGGGAAACCCTGTGTCGCGGGTGCCATGGACACACATAGACAACCACAAATTACACCCAAACTCACGAGAGAAATAAATGTAGGCCTTACAAATATTTCTCCCGGCCCGGGAATCGAACCTGGGACCTCTGCGTGGCAGTCCGGCATGGTAACCGTTCGGCCACGGAGGCAGTTAATACGTAATATTTTGGGGTAACAGCGTAAATGCCCGTGAGCTCTTAATCACACAGAAAAAATGTATTCGGATTCTTATAATTATAAAGCAAGTAGAAAGCTGTAAACCGTATTGCCAAAAACTTTTACATTGCCACGTAAGTATGTATGTACTGAAAGTGTGCAAATTTATAAAAAATAACCCTAACTTTTATAATAAAGTAGGAGACGCCCCCCGACATCACATCCCTCGAAATAAGGTAGTAGTTCAGTAGTAGTAAAGCAGCTTGTGAAAGAGTTCGTCCAGGGAAATACTGCCACCTGGCCTATTTCTGCAGCCAAGCAGTGATGTCAGCAGTACTGTGTTACGGTTTTGAAGGTTAAGGGTGCTGATGAAATTACAGGCACACGGGACTTGTCAACTTACGCCTCAGGGTGACGGGCGCAATGGCAGTGCATGTGCTTATTAGTGTATAAGTATATTCATAAGTATATTTTTGTAACGACAACATATCTGAAGCACTTATGAATAAAAAAATAAGTAAATTAAAAAAAATCTCCTAATTGCAATAAATAAGTAAATTTAAAAGAATCTCCTAATTGTTAACGATCTCTATTAGACGTTCAGATAGTCTCGAAACCTGAGTCTGTCCTTTTGCATGGGCAAACCACTACCTCATTCTCGTACCATGACCTTATTTATATATCTTACCAAGTACGCACCCTCAAACCCAAAACTAAAGTAATATTTCAGCGTAGCTTTGGTAGCATCTGTGTGCATTGCTTGAAAGAAGACTTCTCTAACATTGACAGGTCCACATTGCTTGAAGCCAACATAGTAAATGAGAAAGTTGAAATTTTTAACAATTTGTTATTAAAGCTGTATAACTCTCATGCTCCTCTCAGACCGCGTTAATTATAAAGAAATGCATGCAACGACGGGATAAGGCCAAGTCGATCCTGAAGAGGTTTTCATGCGACGAGAATCTGCGCTCCTATAAAAGGCTGCGTAATCTTTGCAACAGACTTTGTCGAGATGCCAAACGGCGTTACATCCATTCCACCATTGAAGGTTTGTCTACGGGTCAAACCTGCAAGTTCTTGAGAACACTTGGTGTGGGTAAAGATTGTAAATGTAACGATGGCATTCCTGACCTCAATTTACTCAATAAACACTTACCAACCCACCACTTATAGTTGCCAACTCTGTGAAAGTAGCCACACTCGTCTCTCTGGGCACTGTTATCCGTCCTGATTGTGCACCTTTTTCTTTTCGTGAAGTCACTGAGGGAGAAGTTAAAAAGAACATTCTATATATAACTTCCAAGGCCGTAGGTGAAGATGGTATTTGCCGTGATATGCTGATACCTGTCCTGGATGACGTTGCACTCATCTCACACATTTTGAATTGTTCTCTTGCATCTAGCGCCTTTCCTAGCGACGGGAAGTTAGCTCATGTCATTCCCATTCTTAAATCTGCTACTCCGACGGCATTCTCCCAATATCGTCCTATCTCCATCTTACCATTCCTGTCCAAGGTACTTGAAAGCACTGTTCAAAAACAACTTTTCTCATTTGTCTCTTGTCATGATCTAATAAATCGGTATCAATCCGGTTTCCCTGGTCATAGCACAGTGACTGCCTTGTTAAACGTCACTAATGATATTCACCAGGCCTTGGATAATCGATTGTTTACCATTATTATTTTACTGGACTTCAGCAGTGCTTTCAATTCTGTCAACTATGATATCCTGCTTGCCATTCTACACTTCAATAACATCTCCCCGGCTGCGATTGCCTGGTTCTCAGACTACTTTCACAATCGCCATCAAAGAATCAGGAAAGACGACTCTTTTTCTGAATGGCTTCCTTTGATTTCAGGTGTACCACAGGTTGACGTACTCTCACCTCTTCTTTTCTCACTATTTATAAATGAACTCTCTATGTTAATTTCTTCTCCATTTCACTTATATGCAGATGACTAGCAAATTTATCGACATTTTGATGGAGCCGATTTCCACTCTGCTGTCAATAGGGATCTTCTTGTGGTGAAGCCCTGGGCTGATGCGTTCGGTTTGCTTGTGAATACTACGAAGTCACAGGCAATAATTGTAGGTAGCAGCAGACTGTACTGCAGGTTGGACTTTTTAATCTCCCCAAGGTTTCGTATGATGGAATGAATCTTGCATATACAGATAAAACAAAGAATCTTGGCCTAATAATTGATCACACATTGTCCTGGAGACCACAAGTAAATGAAGTTAGTCGGTGTATGCACTTTGCTATTGCTATAATTCTCTCAAGTGGCTTCAATTTTTCTTGCCGTTCAAAACCAAGATGAGATTGACTATGCTGATGTTTGTTATTTGGATGCAACTGAGAAGCTACTTAACAAACTGGAGCGCCTACAGAATCTGGCAATACGTTTTATATTTGGTCTGCATAAATATGACCATATTTCTGAATTTCGATCTAAATT